TGTTACGCTCGAATACAGAAATACAGCATTATCAACATAACTTTGTATCTTAACATATCTAGAAATTGATCCAGTTATATTTCAGATCATAAAATACACTTACTTGCCAATCCTGATGATGTGCGAATGTTAGAGCGAGGATAATCTCGAAGTCAAGATGTTCAGCCAGTGACGTGAGATCTCGTGAGTGGACTGACAACGTTGTTCAAGGTGAAATTCTTATATAAGCTAATGTTGGTTGTTATTTTTTTTTACTTTTTGGGAAACTTTAACAAGCAACTTGACAGTATTACTCCATTATTTCCTGAAATCCCAAGCACTGCCAAATAAATAAACATGAGGTAATAAAAATAATGATTTCGTACGAAATAACAAGTATTGTTATATGTTGAGTGTATGAGTAAGTTTGAAATTATTGAGGTGAAGCTGAAGTTAGCGTTAAAGAGGTTAAGTCTTAAAAATGTATAGGTGGCGGAAAGAAGTACTCAGCACAGAGATAAAGATACAATTTTGCCACTAAGTATTATCTAAGTACCAAATATAAATGCGTTATGAATGCCAATGGTGTTATTAATGTGTATTAAAGACCCCTATATATTCAATATTAGGTAAGCAACAAGAAATAATTCTTGCTACTCGAAGGAACGAGAATATATCAGAATCTACTCATCATATTTAAGAAAGGAGGTTATTAGCAGACGAACCCTATACTTGTTACTATGTTAACCCTTTCTGTACAAACTTACCGATAAACATGGGAAGAATATATATATAAAGTTAAAAGATATTGTTATTTGCCTTATAAGTCAAGAAAACTGTATATGTTATTCTTTAGCGTCTTACACCTCTAGATGGTATTGTGATATACATTGATACACCGGATTTCTTAAAGTAAAAAACAATACAAGCTGTGCATCGAATAATGTAATAACAAAATAATTAGGTAATAATGACTAAAATAACATAGGAATATAATGTTAATTTATCGTGGGTAAAAGCTGTAGGATTATAATTGTATACTAAGAAGAGTAACTACTTCCCACTCTTCACGTAGGTATACTACGTATGCGTATTTCAATAATAATCCACAATATTTTTTGTGCATCACAAACTACATTATTGAGATATTTAGAATTTGTTGTATGATTGCATCAGTCGAGAAACATGATCTACACAGAAACTGCTGATATGGTACTTTATCTATGCTGGCGCCCCTAATTTTGAAGTGATGGACTAGAGGAAAGGCAGCTAGTCAACGCCATCCACCATCAACTCTTAGACTACTCTTTACCAACGAATACTAGGAATGACCGTCACATTATGAAGACCTCTCCCACCCCCACGGCTGAAATGGCGAACATGTTTCGTAGATTGTGAAACAAGTACTGTAACCACCAACCCATGCCAGACCTAATGATTACAAAAGTGTCTAATAAAAACTTGTTAAAATTAAAAGAATAATGTATGATAAAAAATACGGAGGGATTTTACCATTTTTGAACAGTACATTAATAGCAGATGGTAGAGCGATTGTGGCTGAAGCAGCTGCTTGGCACGTGAAAAAAGAGAATGGATCTGGACTTGCTTAAGAATCTGGTTGTAAAAAAATGGGAAAAAAGTAATTGAAAACTGGGAAGTACGACGTTAATTAAAGAAGATATAGAAGCAGTATTGGTAAATAAAAAAGGTTATATAGGCGTTTAGTCTAATGATTTATTACCCAAGAACAGTGGAAAGTCTTCAGACATACAACGCTAAAATGTGGGGTTAGGTTACTCGTGGTGGATACTGTAAACAGCCCAACGTGGCTTTGCTCTAAATCAAAGAAAAAATGAAAATATAGTATTCATTGGGTTTGTTGTTACAATAATTCAAAATATAATTTCGTTAAACATTTTAATCCTTACGGAAAATACACAATAAATAATGTACAATTTTAAAATATATAATACAAAAGGAAATTGAACAATATTTAATTTCAAATGATAAAGAAATTAGATGCAATCCGAGATTTCTACGAAAAATGTATTAATAAAATGTTAATATTTTTGTATAAAATATATAAAAAGAATGAAACGCAGGGCGTAGTATTTATAAAGTGTTATATACAATTACTCAAACACCGAGTGATTTCAACGAAAGTTGTGTTTGTGTTTTAATAAATGACAAGCCTAATAGTTCGAGATTCTAGAAATACCGAATATTCAGAAGAGTAATATAATGTAAGTAATGGGAATTATTATTTAGTATATATGTCAATGTGGATATCATGGAACAACATTGATGAAACATTTAATAATATTACCTTTAAGTATTATGATGAAGATAATTGGAAAAGATTAACGATTGAAAATAGTAATTATACGATATGGGAGAAAAATAACGGTTAGTTAAATTGTTTATTGTAGATGACCCTCCTATATAATTTGGTATTCAATTTGTAACTTAATGGTTTATAATCAAATTGGCTCCAAATTATAATTACCATATTGACTTAACTGAAGGGAAGCTGTACGAAAGATTAGGATTTGAACCAAAACTTATTCCGATCAAGATCAGAGAGGAAAATATATAGCTAACAACTCTAGAGATGTAGGCGACATTGAAATTCATTGTGATGTTATCAATGGAGTATTATACAAGAAAAAGTTCTTGGCAAGGTTTTGTATTCTTTTACTACTCCTAATCCACCTGGAAATTTAATTAGAAATGAAGAAACAAATTGAATATATGCAGATGATAAGAGGTCAACTTTTATTTATAGAATAAGAATGAAGATTACAGATGAAACCAATCATCCAAGTGACTAGAAGAAACAACGAGTTGTATATAGGTTAATTTTAAGTAATAATAAATTAATTATAATAAACATTATTTATTTGTAAAAAGTCGGAAATGTTATGGAAAAGGTATTTTTACTGATATTTTAAACAAAGCAATAGATAAAGTTTTTGAACTTTTAGGTAAAAAGCAGATGAATTCAGAGAAAGAAAACTGAGAAAAGTCAATATCTAACATTTTAAATAAGTAACCTAAAGTGTATAAAATGAAATATGAAACTGGACTTAAAAGATTTTAATTTTAAATAAATGGCAATAACTTGGGATACAACTAGTGTACCTAAATATTATCAAACATTAAAGAAAGCTTTTAATACAAATAACATCGTGAAAGTAAAGTCGTTATCGATGAAAAACAGTTGCTAAATATGAATTCTACATAAACGATTTTCGATAATCGTGATATATTAAGAACTTAGATCAAAAATAAAAATGATAAATATCCCATTGAAGATTACAACGTTTTGTTAAAAGATATGATATGAGATTAATCTAGATATTACTCAGATTTATTAGCAGCTGGGTTAAATAATATTAATACAGAAACTGGGTGTTTAGTTAGCTATACCAATTAGAGAAAATTGTATCCAATAATTTGTTTCGACATTGAAACCACAGTTCCTATAAAAATGGGACGAATTTAAAAATTGAATTCTTCTAACAATTCAAACAATTTCAACGAAATCATATAGACTTATTTCGTATCTGTTGAAAAGAGAAAATGAATAATGAATGTTTATAATAAAAGTTTTGAATGAGTGAGAACTCTTTAACGAGTTTTTGATTTCCTTATGGTAATCTATATAAAGAAGCATCTCAGGGTTGTATAGGTCTACCTAGAAATGATTTTAAATTAATTGATGATGTTAATTACTATATTGAAAATAAATAATTAAAAAATGTTAACTAGGCAGTTTATAATAGAGATGCTTTTTATTTACCGTTAATCGAAGAACACTTTCATAGTAAAACCGAATTCGATGACAAATCTCCGCGTAATATTCTTAATATATCTTTTGTATGTTTGTAGTTAAGCACAAAGATACACACTAGACTATCTGTTCTGTGCCTATCATCGAAATCCGGTTTTTAGCATTAGACTGTCTTCAGACTTACCGCTGAACCGTTGGGAGTTGTTCTTAATAGAAATAAAAACGGTTTATATGTACCGAGAGTGTTATTATAATGCATGCTAATTTTGATACTGGTAATAACAAATACAAAAGAACCGATAGAAGAAATTGATACAATAAGTAAAAAAGTATGTAGACAAAAATTTTAGAAATTTTTAAAATTATTAATTGATTGAAAGATTTTGATAAAAATTAGAAAATAATATAAGTGAATTAGAAAGAGTTAACTTACAATATTAATTTAAGCATTAATGCCTTTAATACCAAAAGTGATAGAAAATTACAATGTTTGGAAAATATTTCATTAACAGGAAATGATAGAAATCATTTTGATCTCTAACGCTTTGTTTACAAACAATTTAATAAAGAAATGTTAACTATCATTTTAATAACTGCTGAAATAAAGTTTAAAATCCTTCCATATTTTGTACTTTATACTCTTATTCTACTAAATGATTTTATGGAAAATATTTCTTCTGTTTTCCGGAATTGAAAGCCTTCACTAACTTTAAAAAAAAAAGGAAAAAGTTATGTTTCAAGAATGATCTTCAATGGAAAAAAGTAAGCACGGTTATTTTATAATGAAAAGATGAATGAATTACAACAACAATATATGCTAAAAAGAGTCAAAAGTTACGAAAATTATTTTCTGAATTTCGCATAAAGCTACATGAGGGCTAAATATGCCGCCTTCCTTAATTTTGAAAAACAGACTAGAGCGAAGGCAGCTAGCCAACAACATCTACCGTTAATTCTCAGACTACTCTTTACCAAGAAAAGAAGGACTGACCATTACATTAAATAGCCACGCGTCTGAAAGGGCGAGAATGTTTTGCAGATTGCCAGTTGAGTGTCATAACCACCTGCTCATGACGAGTCTAGTTACGACTTGTCAAAGTTAAGAGAACATTGTATATAGTGAGTTTACTTACTGATTAGGTACGTTTTATTACACGTCACAACTTTTATAATAAGTAAGATTTGTTTTTAGAACAGGTATGACGTTTCAATCATTAATGCGATTATTCTCAAATACAGAAGTTTGAACGGTAAATAATGTTTTAGTACTTAAATCAACATTCAACAATCTAACAATGTATTTATATTATAGAATTGATAGTGGTTGCTTATGCATATACATATCAATCTGCGTGAATTAACAGATTATTTATTTATGGCTAAAGAGAAAAAGAACAACAACCAAAAATTGAATAAGTAATAAAAAACTATGGAATATGTTATGTAAAATATTTGCATAAGATTAGGAATGTCTGGGGAAATAACGATCAAAGACATATAGAGATATGCCTGGGTATTTGTTAATTGTGGGATTGTTTGATTTCATTAATAAAGCTTCTATGATTTTTCTTCTGTTAATGTCAGGCTTATGTTTTAGTACTGTATGTGACACTCTGTTCATAAAAAAAACAGTTTGATTTTATTCATATACTCATGGACTTGGGAAGGGGATTTGGTGTTTCTTTAACCTGATCTGCAAAATTATATCCTTTTCACATATCTAAAAGGCTGGGCAACTGTTACACTTGATTTTGCAAATGCTTCCTGGAGGGGTGGGATTGTTATATAATTTTCTTAACATGTGTTTAATTTTCATTCCAGGGGTGAAAAAGAATCTATTCGTTATGTTAAGGTTATATTTACGTGTTGGTCTTTTCGAAGTTTCTGATAGAGGTATGCTAATATTTTCTATACGTGATATAGTGCAAGTGATTAGGTTTTCTTTGTTTTGTGTGGTGATTGAGTTTGTTTGTTTGTTAAACGCCTCTTGTCTATGTTTTTTTTTTTTAAATTGTTAACAGTTTCTATAACTACTTCAGTAGGAAATTGGTTAACGTTAGTGAAGCATTGAGTTAAGTGCGCAACCTTATTATCGATGTTTTCTGTGGTGCATATAGTGTATGCTAAATTTAGGGGGATTTTAGAGTGCCTAACTTCTGGTGGATTACATGATTAGAAAAACAGTTTATGTAATTTCCGCTGTGTGTGTTTTATCTATGAATTTTAGGGATGAAGCCTTGGGGGTTCGTGTGATGTTAACGTTTACAAATTTATTGCGTAATTGTTTTCATTATTCACTGTGAATTATATGTCTTTATGTAGATTGTTTATGTGCTAAACAAACAAAATTTCAACCTACATGCTCGCCCTTTCAGCAATCTCAAAATCCGTTGGTAAAATAACTGCCTTCTCTCTAGTCTATTACTGCTAAATTAGGGACGACTAGAGCAGATAGCCTTCATATAGCATTGCACGATATTCAAAACAAGTCAAACCAATCTAAAATGGTTTATGAGAAACATTTATCTGAAAGTGTTAAAACCGAGAAAAATGATTTTAAGTATGCCAAGAGACTGTATTTGACATTCAGTTTTACGTTAAAAAGTAAGTAAATGATGAAAAAAAAAAGAGACTCCGGGATTGGGGCTAGAACATCTGGTTAACGGTACCACTGGTATGCCACTATGATATATACAAGAATACAAGCCATCATCGATAGTACTCATATAGAAAGCTTTGTATTAGTAGTATGACCACCATACAACTTCATGATAGGTACACAGATCAAATAATAATAGAATTATATCAGAGGGTGTTATAGAAAATAGCAATACTTCTGATCCTGAGCATGCTCATGAAAATATTGTGATTGACCTGAATCATGTTGATGATTGAGAGGTTAAATATAAACAAAACATTTAACCCAAGAAGGTTTTTCTCGAAGTTTTAAGGAAGTTAAACTACAGATAAGCAAATCTCTATTTTTCATAATTGGTTGGTCATTAGACAGTGAGAAGGTGCCAGAGGAATGTCCAGTTACTAATGTCACTCTCACGTTTTCTCCTAATAACCTCTGAACAGCTCAGAATATCGACATTTCGAGAGGAGAACTCGAGGCCAATTTTGCCACCCGAGTTTTTGACTTAGAAAAAGTATGTTGGCAAATAAGTAATGTGTAAAAGGTAAAAGTAACCACAACACATATGTAAAAAATTGGTTTAAAAGTTTATTACATTTTATAGAGCGCAGGGAATAATTGTAAGCGTGATGAAATTTTATGTGACATCAGTTTATATTATAATTAAATATTTACATTTTTATTTGCACTCAATTTTCACTTCACATTGCGCTCGTACCCTAATACTAAAAACTCATGTGTGAAAGTATAGTAATATGTTAAACACATTATATCTGCCGTGTCCAGTGTCAACAGTAAATTTTGTCCAAAACCTAGTATTATGTCAAACACATTATATTTGCCGTGTTCAGTGTCGACAATAAATTTTGTCCAAAACCAGAGCTCATCAGGCCTGTTGGGATAGGATATGATAATATAATATGTATCGAGTGACACAGATTATGTTTACAACGTTATCATATTAATGGTTTATTGTTGTAAGGCTAGACAGTGTGTTATAACACTGATTTCTCTTCTACATGTTATAAACCAATCTTAGATAAACAAAATACAGTTTCTGCCATGCAAAGTTCAGGTTAGTAACAGTGAAGTGTATTTTTATCGTAATAGTAATAATCCATCGTTAGAATGTCCTGTATTTTAAACGTTGTCTTACCAGATTAAAAAAAAACTAAAAGTGGAAAATGTTTGACTTAACACGATTCATTTTCAAATTTTATGGTATTTAAGACCGTATTGACTCTAAGTTCTGCTGTACCATTTTGTGTGGATTTAATTAAACCTGTTTTCTATACTTTATTACGAGCAGTAGTTAACATAGAGGCGTAAAGTTTCAGAAGGTTTGTGTTTTCATAATCAGGTTCTTTCTTCATGTTATTCAAGGATGGGTAATCTTTTGATGTTGTCCTAGTGTGCCATGCTAAAATCTGAAATGAAACAAAAATCACAGTAAATCTAACGTGAAATAAAAAATCAACAGATAATTTCACAAGTTGGTAAACAGCATTACACATATATTAAACTTTATTTCGCAAGTATTGGCTTTCACTGCTTTGTTTTTGGTATTAACATATTTGATACATTTCGAGCTCCTAAAATGGAAGCTTTGGTAGTGGAGCACCCTTTCTCTTCTTAATAGTATATTTTGTCTGCACGAATAGGCGTTATTAGTGAAATTACATGTGCCATTATTTTAACGTTATCTCAGTAAAATATTGTAAGGAGCCAGATGAAAACGATCAAAAAGATAGACTATAGCTTGTATATTCCCATTCTGAATAAAGAAATTTAGGAAAATGCAAGTAATCTTAAGATGAGATATACTTTACGAAATGTATACAGTAATTAATTAATTCTTTTTTAATAAAGATATGAATCACTTAACCTAAAACGACGATCTAGATAGTTAACAAACTAACTTAAAAAAGTAAGCTTAAAGTGAGGTATGTAAGGATTATTATAGGGTAAAAATGTAGAGTTTGATCTAGGATTTTTTCCGCATCTGTTATGTTATATTGCACAAAAGTAAACTTTCCGAAATTTAATTACAAGAGAGAGAATGCACATATGGATGGAGCCCATACAAGGGCATCTACATAGTTGGAAGGAACTCGGGATGATCTAAGGACATTAGCACAGAAGTTAGTCAAGGTTACTATCCTCATCAAAACCAACCTATGAGAAAGTAATGTTATTATGTAGGATGTATGACCCAATGGGAATCAACAGTGTTATGATTCCGCACCAATAATGTAATAGGTAATTTAGGTTACAACCAATCAGGTCAAGCCAGGATCCGTTATACGAACGAAACCGATGTGCTGCCAAGCGATATGTATATAAATGATAATTAACCATAATCTGGTGTAAGAAGTGGAGAATTACTCTCAATCCAACAAAGACTCAATACGTAATATTTCACAGAAGCCTAAACAAAAAGTGCAAAAAACCCTAAGAATCTCAAACTTAAACTCTGTGTTCCCCGATCTCCTTTTCCAAGTCAATTAAATTTTTCGGCATGAAATTTAACCACAACCACAAGCACGAATAGCACATCTCAGAAAAACAATTCACCATATAAACGGCTGTAAACTACACTTCACATCTACAAAACTTTCATCAGACCCAGTATGGAGTACCCCTCGATGATTACATGCAACATGGAAGAACACCATCTTACAGAACTGCAAAAACTTTAAAACTGGCTTCCCAATTAGCATGCCACTTTCCATACTACACACCATCACGTCACGCAGAAAACCATTCAGAAATAAAAAAAGACTAATTAATCTGGCCAGTAAATGCTACAAAAAAAATCCATAGATCGTAGCTCACTTCACTCTTCCCTTCCACAGCTGCTACTCCACAATCTTGAAGAAAATGCGTATCCCCGTATAACTTCATTCACGAAGATCATAACACACTGTAACATGCTATTATATCATTATGTTTATATGCCTTGATCCTTATCTTCAGTATCTTTCCAACACCAATCTAAGAATATGGTTCCGTTTATCTAGGCACTGGTCGTGCTTTAATTCGGTCCCGATCGGTGTAAGTGGGTTTTTCTTGGGGGCACTCCCCCCACACCAAAATCAAAGACATTGGATTTGTAGATACCTGCCAGGTGATGAAAAGGCCTATTTGTTGGTTTGTCGATGTTTAGCATACTCAACATAACATACTCGCAGTGCAATATAATTTAACAGTTTACCACATTATCTCTAAAGTATCTACATTCTATAACAAAGCAAATACAATTCTGTGGCCTAGTTCGTATAATTTAATTTACTGTTTTAACTAAATCACTGTATTATACGTGCTTGATATGTGAATCAAAGAATTCGAAGCTCGGGAACCGTTGTCGCAAAACGCACTTTACGATAAAGGACCGTGGCTTCACGATAAGAGTGGCAGTCAAACCCATTATTAGATCAGAGAAGAGTTTTAGTAGGTGCTTTCTTTCCTCTAGTCTTTAAGCTCAGAATTAGGGATGGATATGTGCAAATATCGTTTGTGTAAGTTTGGATGAATGTTTGAAACAAACTATTGTGTATAGTTCATTATTTGTACGTCCTTCCAAGTTCCATACGTACTGGAAGACATTTAAATGTGCAGTCATTCTCTCTCTCTCTTTTTTTAGCTGTGTGTTGTTTTATTTCACCAATATTGTATTTTATATTTGTTTAATGTTAACTCATTCACCAGTAACATAATAGTATTTAATGTCTATACACATCTTAGTAAAATTTCTAAAACAGGCATCACTTCTACTATTACTTAAAGGTTATTTTTTAGGATAAAAATAAAATAATCTGAAAAAGTTTTATTTAAGTTTTTGTATGTTGTTTTCTTTTTTTAAAGTGTCCTTACTTCCGTGCAGTTATTTCCTTTTGGTTCCAAGTCATCCAGCCCAAAACGTAGATTTTGTAAAAACAGGTCTTCTTCATAACCATTTCGATATGGATCTGTGGCTCCTGGGATACTGAGGAAATGTTGGACACTTACAGCAAAAGCTGCCCAATCAAGCGCAAATTTTCTTTGTCGTCGAAAACCATCTAAAAAATCAATTACCTTTCCATTCTTCACGACTGGACTAGATAACTCCTCTCTGAACATTCCCCCTACTGGCCAAACACTTACATTTTTAGTCGATCTCATCTGGAAAAAAACCAACAACAACAAAAAACGTTTCATATAAATGGATTGGAAAAGAAATTCATTTCAGTGTCTTTTTTTTTATAGCTTATGAAACTTGTCGATTATTTTAAAGACCAATTCACTGAAAAAAATGGATAATATTACCAATGTTGGTGAAGCATTATTTATTAAATCTACTTAAAATACTGACTTAACTGGCTGGAGAGGTGGGGGTGGGGGTGGGGAGTTCGTAACAAACAAGTAGGAAATCTATAAAATAAGATCGTATAAAATGGTGGGCTATTCTAAAACAAGATTAGTTAAATAGAAATAAAAACAGAAAAACATAATTTTGATATAAAATATAACTTGATCGTAAAGTTTTTTTTATTATTGTTATTTAAACCCCGTATATTTATATTCAAAGAAATTTTACTGTTGTCAGAAGTTTAATATTATATATATGTAGGCCTGGCATAGCTTGGTGGTTAGAACACTAGATTCCTAATCTGCGGGTCGCGACATTGAAATCTGTAGCCAAACAAGCTCTCCCTTTCATCCCTTGGGGGCGTTATAAGCTGGCAATGTGTTGTGTAATACTTAATATAAATAACATTTATTATTTAAAACAAAGGACGGTCCCTCGGGGTAGCTTTGCGCGAAATTCGACAAAGAAACAAATAATATGATATATTTAAAGTCTTACTTGCTCAAATACTCGAAGATCAAAAACGTTGTCGTCATCTGCCATAAAAATAACACCAGATTTGGCGTTTTCCCTGATCCATTTGAAGGCCGCATGGTGACAGTTGACTGCATAAGGATATTTAAGTTGATTGGGTGGTCTTGGTCCTACAAGATAAGTATGTTGAACACCTCGTTTCTTCAGAATCGTCTCTATCATTGGATTTTTATCAGACCAGTCTTCTACAACCAACCAATGAATGTTGGGCACATGCATTAAAGTTTGGGCCAATCTTGTTATTTCTGGAATCTGATTAGCTCGCGCATACGTTGGAGTGATGATATAAATTGTTGTTAATTCAATATCTTGATTTGATCGATTAAGACCGAATTGGTTTCTATGGCGTTCTATAGAGAAAATTAAGAAAAACATAAACATATTGTTACGCCTCCGTTCGTTAGTTAATTTTCCGTAAAAATTCTTTCCGAAGAAACCGATACAAGTCCTGTCTTAAATAAAACTGGTTTATTCTTTCTGAATACAACTTTGCAATACACTTAATTTCCACAGTCGCGCTATAACAAACGCTATACTTCACAACGAACGTCTCATGTGCTCTACTCAACAATACGTCTCTCTGTCCGCAGTTCATTTACACACATTACCTTACCTTCACTTCTTGGCCGTCTTATATAAAAGAATACCGTACATCTAGTAACCTCCCGAGGATTCACGAAGCTTCGAGAATATGACGTATTACTAGCATTACGTGATCTCCGCTGTCGTAACAATATACATACACGGAAATTTCTGGTTTTTTACAGTAAATTGGAATGCGTGCAATTTAAATAAAAGTGTTAAATTTGTTTTCATTGTATTATCTTATAGGTTATTTCTAAGTATAATAAACATGTCACGTGGAAGATCTAGCCCAATTATTCGATAAATCTGAAACTATTGAATATCGGAAACTAACAGAGACCTGCAAAAGATTTGTGATCAAATTTGTATTTTATTTGCAACAGTAATTCTTTAAATATATGATTTCTAGAATAACACAAAAGAATTCTAATCGAAGACACCAAAATCTATAAGTCCACTTGTCTTAGGCTTAACATTAGTTAAGCCATTATTAAGTGTGCCCCATATTCAATAAACGGATAATTTTATACTGTAACTTGTGTACGTATTTTTGTTCTAGTTTAGTTAGATCTAAACTTTACTGTACTCAATACTATCAAGACCTGAACTTATAATGTTATTCTACGACCTAACGTTGGACTTTTGTTAAAAGTTAGTTAAGCTTTTAATATTTCATTTGATATTTCATTGGTGGTAGTGTCCAGGGTCACTGGTGAGAAGTGGAATTCTCCGAAACTAGTCTGGCTCATATACACACACCCCAATGAAAGAATAGACCATTCCAAGCTTTAACTTGTTGTTAAACAAATGTTTAAACAACTCTACTTATTCAATTAAGCTTTTAATATGTTGTTGTATAAAATGTCTACTAAAGTAAACGAATATCCGTTGGAATGAAGTGCGCGCGTATGCGCATTTAGATAGTAAGGTGCGCGTGCATTTTCAGGACAGACAAAACTGAGTATTATTATAATAGATAAATAACAATATTTTTTTTCTGCGTCAAATATTGTTAAAATATAAAACTATAATTATATTATAATTTCGTTTCAACCATGAATTATCAATTTTTAAAAACCAAAAAAAAAACGTTTTTTCCAATATTTGCGCATACACAAAGTATGTTCAAAAGTCCAATAGGGTCACCATAGTTCAGATTGTTTTCAAACTCAAAGATAATTTTCAACTAGGCTGAACTTTGTTAACCTCGTTAACAGATGCTGATGATATTACTCACATACATAGATAGATTTTAAAGTTTTCTAATCCAAATTATGAATATCTGCTCTATAACTCATACATTATGTATATGATACTAGGTGATCTATATGCAGAAAAGATTCATTACTGTACTAAAATTATATGATAAATAAATTTGATAAACTCACACGACTTCCCCCTCACAACCACAACAATAGATAAACTATTGTTTCGTTAAGCTGTGGTCTCTACAAATCAAAAGAATAAAGAATCTTTTAATCTCAGCTAGATCATGTACATTCTTAATTAACAGCAGGGAGATATCTTGTAAATTAAGTCGGGTGTAGTGCTTAGCGTACCGGACTGTGAAAATGAGAATCCAACGTTCACGGCGCGTTACCGCAAAATCGTGCTCAGCCTTTTGAGAGTGTGGATGTATTATGAAAGTAAAATCCCAATATTCGATTAGAATAACTCAAGAGTTTTCGGTGAGTGCTGCCTTCCCTCTAGTTTATCAGTTTTAAATTACGGACGGATAGTGCAAATATCATTTGCTTTGCTCAGTCTTAACATAATTTTAATCTTGTACTTCCCTTAAAAAGGCTTACTAAGGTATTTGTTTCTCTTAAAGTATAAATTATTTTATTACAGAAATGTGTTTAAAATAACATTTTAGAATATAAAAAAGTATATAAAATATACAAAAAATATACCGTTAATGATAATTAAAAACCATTATATATCGTTTACAGTTCAGTTTCTTTGCTACGTACAGATTCAAACTAATAATATTCAAATAAAACATTGTTTCAACATTAACTGTGTTTTACTTCTGGATTTACTTTAGTATACAGTATTGGTATGAAAACATTCAAACCTTTTTACTTACCTTGTATAAAATTAGAGGAAAACAAGTAAAAACAGAAACGAATGACAAAAGATCCACATAATATTTGCACGATCTCTTTCAGCAACATCCAGGCTTAGTTTTTAAGAAGCAGTTTCTAAAAATTAAAAAATACTATTGATAACTTAATGACAATTAAACTAGAATAGTAGCGCTCTAATGAATATTAACAAGGCTTATCTAACTACAAAAATAACATTATTTTATCTTAAGACATTGAACTTGTATTTGAAATTCAATATTGGTCAATATAGTATTACTTTTTTTTAATTGCCTATTTTACAGAAAGTTGTTTTTCACAAATATTTCTAATTGAATATAAAATGCGTTTTTTTCCTCTCTGAACAAATAAAAAAAGAAAAATAGTTATTATGTTTAGATTACACGTATATTTGTGAAACATTAAAAGGAAGATCTATTTTATTATATTTATATCCCATTACACAACCTTATATATACATGTAACGTCATCGACAACTGGAAACAGTCTGATCGACGCGTAAAGACAGATGGTTCGTGACAGATGGTTCGCAAAAATAAATTATCAAAGGAGAATAGAAAAACAGTTCAGCGTTCAATACCATGCGGTATGGGAAAGGGATGGAGAGAAAAACAAAAGGTTAGTAACAGTGAAGTGTATTTTTAGCGTAGTAGTAATAATACCAATCATTAGGAGAAAGGGAAAATAACATTAAAATTATTGCCATTTCATTAAACAATTAATAATGCTTTTTAGCTAATAAACTTGAAACTCCCAACCAGTGATTCTCCTTCTTATTTAGCTGTTTATGTGCATCTTTATGGAAACCATCTTTCAGGAGAAATGGGGTAAAAGCTGCCCTTAGTTTACACTGAAGCGTAGAATGTATTGAATACGATTTTGAGAGTCCTTTGTATCAATAGAAATGTGATTTGTAGTTAACAAAGGCAGTAGTTAAAAAAGGCATCTTACAGATTAAAGTTATTAGGATCATCAAATCCAGCTAAGTTTGATTTGATTTGAGTTTTACATTCCAGTTAATCTTAACTAACGTGCTGTCGTACAGGTCGGTCAATTGTGTATTGTATTAGGAATTACATTCCAGTTAATCTTAACTAACGTGCTGTCGTACAGGTTGGTCAACTGTGTATTGTATTTGGAATTACATTTCAGTAAATCTTAACTAACGTGCTGTCGTACAGGTTGGTCAATTGTGTATTGTATTAGGAATTACATTCCAGTAAATCTTAACTAACGTGCTGTCGTACAGGTTGGTCAATTGTGTATTGTATTAGGAATTACATTCCAGTAAATCTTAACTAAC